TTACCTGTTCTGTTCATTCACTCTGGGGCACCTGGCATTGGCCACTGTCAGAAGACAGACTACTGGGCTAGATAGGCCATTCTTGTGTTCTTATGTAAATTTTAAATCCACCCAGCTAAAAATCAAATCTGAAATATACACCTACCCCTAATCCTTGCCTGGTGTAATAGTGGTTTTCAATTTTATTTTTCTTGTCCCCACAATGAGACCTGTTAACCTCCTTCCACCCTGCTATGAAGATCCAGTAACTTTCTGTCTCTGTGCCTTGCCTTGAGCCATCCCCCAGAAATCTTTTTTCCTTCATACCTCCTTCCACAGTTTCTTCCCCCCGTCACAGTGGCCTACTATCCCCACTGAGCCTTATTCCTGCTCACTTCATACCCCATAATTAAGTGTAGCTTTCTTCCTGTGTTTACCACTCTAAAGCCAAAGGGGAAACAGTAGCTGAAGCAGGAATGAGGAGCTGCGGCTTTATAGCGGCGCCCTGAAGTGCTAAGCATCAAGTGTGGGTAGCACAGTGGGTGACTAAACTAGGGAAGGCATTGGCAATTGGGGAAGAGGGAGAGCATTGGAAGTAAGTTGTGTCAAAGGGGCACCCACTTTTTAAAGCTGTGCTTGGGGCCACATCCATAAATCATGCTGTTGAGTTCTTTATTTAGCCACACAGTAGAAAGTGGCTGACTAAGCTTCCACATATTGCCTGATTACATGTAGTGGTTCTGGCCTGCAGGGAATCCAGAACGTGAACCTTTCAGATATCTAGAGTAGCACCCCTATTATAACAACAACAAGAAAAAGCCATGGGAGCTTTAAACTACTGTACCAAACTTTGGTTTTATGTCATCTAACACAGTGGTTCTCAAGCTTTCCAGTCTACTGTACCCCTCTGAGGAGTCTGATTTGCCTTGTGTACCCCAAGTTTCACCTCACTTAAAAACTCAGGCTTCAGCTCTGTGTGGCCAGGCTTTCTGCCCTGGGTCCCAGCGAGTCTAACCTGATGACCCCATTAAAATGAACTCACCCACACTTTGAAAACCACTGATAGAGTATATAGAATCGTATAAGCAAGTCACTGTCTGTATAAAATTTTAGTTAGTCCTGACTTCACTATTGCTTTTTATGCAGCCTGTTGTAAAATAGGCAAATATCTAAATGAGTTGATGTACTCTCTGGAAGACCTCGGTGTACTCCCAGAAATATACATACCACTGGTTGAGAACCACTGATCTAACAGAATAAACATCTAGCATCACACTGCCTGTTAACCCTATTCTGGTCCATTAGTTCAATATTGGCTCACAAAAAGCATCTGCATGTGTAACAACCCAATCCACTAATACTCTTAGACATGTTACAAGATCACATTCTTGGTGGCATGGCTGCAGAGTTAGAAACTTTTTCTGGCTACTTTCTCTGGAGTAAACCTACTTAATCCCCAACCAAGTTTGCTGGCCCTGAGCCCTGGTAGCCATGGGCCCTTTCATGGACAAATCATTAGATCAGTTTCATCTTGTAATGAAAAATTCAATTAACACATCCCAATTTGTCAATGCCAGATTAAAACTAAATTAGAAGAGCACTGAGTAGGGAGTAGTGGACCCAAGCAGAGTGAAAATGCACAATAGAACTTCTGACATGGACAAGTGATTACCATTTCTCACTACTGGTTGAATTAGCATAACTGCTCCTTTTACACACCAGGTAATAGCCTGTGGCTTTGGAGCTGACAGGGCCATTTAAATTTTTGAAGCTGTAAGTATGTGGTTAGCTGATAAAGTTGCTATTAAGTGTACAATTATTATCATTATACTATTATCAGACAAGTTAAATGATGCACAGTAACATTATTATAGGGGGAGCTGATTGGCAGCCTTCACTAAGCACAGAATGGGTTACCTAGGGAGGTGGTGGAATCTCCTTCCTTAGAGGTTTTTAAGGTCAGGCTTGACAAAGCCCTGGCTGGGATGATTTAGTTGGGAACTGGTCCTGCTTTGAGCAGTGGGTTGGATTAGATGACCTCCTGAGGTCCCTTCCAACCCTGATATTCTATGAAACACACAGTTAACAATTTCCATTATAAGCCTTGAGTTGCCTAGAACTTTCCCAAATTTTAACTGATTGGGCTGGAATTTTCCATGTCCAAGGTTGAATTTTTTTGTTTGTTTTGTTTTAAGTTTTGGCAAAAATGGTTCAGGTGTTTCCTAGAACAAGATTAGAGAAAAATGTTGTTTTGTCCACTTTAAATTCTTACAATGATTTTGTGAAGATACTCCAGTGCCTTCATGCTTTGGAGCAAGATCTTAAAATTTGGAGGGGGGTCAGCCTGGTATTTGTCCTTGTCAAAATCCACCATAATTTGGCCAAGTTCTGAACCTCTGAAAAATCTACATACATGTATGCTCAGTGGAGATTTGTTAGAATCTTCAGACAATCTGCCATAATCTATCAATCTTTAGTATGCTCCAGTCTCCGACTGAGCAGCCCTTTCTTTGTAATTACTCTTCCCAGCTGCTGAGAGCTGCTATTGTGTCAGGCACAGGAACTGAGAGCAGGAAGACTGTCTTTCCTATGCTCTCAGCCTCTTCCTGCTGGTGCCCAGGCAGCATAGAGGAGAACAGCTTGACTTGGATGCAGAGGATGTGTAAAGTCAGGCTTTGGGGCAGGGATAGGGGACTGTGGGGCAGAGAGAGATTGCACAGGTGCATGCTAGGGACCAGAAGCAGAAAAGGAGAGGGGGTGGGGAAAGAAGGATATGTAACTACTAGAGTACACTTCCCTCCAGAACCAGAAATTCTCTCTCTGCTGTCAGAGGATAGCTGTGAAACCCACGGGCAAAGTAGGTCTTATATTTCTCAGTAATGGTTGGTCCACACGTTACCCTATTTACTCCATTAGCTCAAGCGATGTGGATCTAAATGCACCAAACTTGCTGATGATCCACATTAGGGGATAATATACATGACAATTCATTTTATCAGTATTTAAAAAAAAAAAAAAAAAAAAAACTAGAAAATTACACACAAAAACTACATTAAAAGAACATAAAGGTTGCAAAGTCAAACACTCAAAAGTTAGGAAATACCAGAATTAAGGTTGCATTATAATTTAGATATGCACTAAGGTATGTGTTATGATACAGTCTTTAATTACATAATCACATACAGCACTGTCCATCCTGTGCACTGAATGAGGAAGGTGTCATGTGGAAAAGAGTACAGTATGTAATCATGTAGTTAAATATTATAATGCATAGTCACAGGAGAGTTGAGTTAAGGTTGCACAGGCAACCTTGATTGTAAGTTCCTTGAGACCGGGACCATCTTTTTGTATATTGCCTCGCACGGTGGAGTCCTGCTCCACGACCAGGGTTCCTATCTGCTACTGTAATACAAATAATAAATAAATCTTAATTCTGGCAGTTCTTGTCTTTTAAGTGCTCTGCTTTGCAACTTTGTTAAAAACAGTTTTTGTATGTTAAAGATTTTTTTCATAAAGTATTTGGTAAAAGTTCCCCTAAAGGAGAAATTTCAGATACAGAATAAACCAATAATTATACAATTTAAAAGTATTCAGTTTAGTAGAGTAATGGCATTTGGTCTTCATGGAAAGACTAATCAGAGTATTAGAAAAAGTTGCCCATGTTTGCAGAGGACTAACTGAGGTGGAACAGTTCATATTATGAAATAATGTACTAGCACTAAACAACGTATTATAATGAATAGCAAAGTAAGGTACTGAAGGACACGGACATTGTCATTTAGGCAAATATTTCATTAAGCACTTCTCTGTTATTTAGAAATGCTAGTGCAAAAATTAAGAATGTTCAAAGAAACTGGAGAGCTGTTCAAAACACAGATTTCTTGACTAAATTCTTCCCTCACACCCCCAAAAGTTGTGTGTTCTCTCCTCTTTTCCTTTTCATGGTCTCTCTCCTCCTCCTCCATGGGAGTAGCAAGTGCTCAACATCTCTGAAATTCCGGCCAATACTGCTCTGCTTCATTGTGTTTTGTTCTAGCTGGCAGCCAAACAGAATGGATTGTGTACTGCCAAACTTCAAAACAGCTAGAGTGCTTTGGCAAGTTCAGCGTTGCACTGTTCTTCACAGCCATACATTAATGTGAGACTTGATGAATGAGAACAAAGCCTTACAGATCCATTACACTAGTAAATTTTGCCTTAGGAAGAAAAACTGGAGACCCTGAAATATGTCTGTTGACACATTCTGAGACATGCAGTAAAGAAAAGGAAAAGGATGCCTACTTAGTGCTGGCAAAGACAAGAGAAACTGGGTGACTGCTTCTGTCCTTTGAGGTGCTCTGCACTTTTGAGTGTCCTGCTATCAACACACTAGACTTGACTCCCCATGAGCCTGTGCAACCCAGCTGTCTCCGAGCCATCCCTGCTGCACCAAAAGAACCCACGCTACTTGTTAAGTGAGTTGTTGGGCCAAACTGACTTTTCACAGGATCCAGTTTTCGGCGATTTCACCAGAGACTAAGAAGGAATCCCAAATATTATCCAAAGAGAAAGGTAACATAGGCCAATAAGATGTAGGCATTGGGAGGGAGTCTGATTGAACTGCTCCCTTATGCCAACCCTGTGCCTTTTTAATACTGTGTTATTTTTCTAAAATGTTGGCTGCAGTAGACAGAGTCAGTGTTAACAGAGCATACAGAACAAGTGGTAGTATGGATCTTAAAAGACTATAGCATAGCTGAATAGGTATCAAATTTTAATGACTTAAAGGAAGAAAGCCTACAGTTCTTAATCATATTCCCGCTAATCAATAAAAACCACTCAAAAACAGAGGACAAGAGGAAAAAAAATCCTCTTCTTCCTCTGTGTATATGTGATAAGGGCCAAACACATATGAAACAGTTTTCCTGCCTAGTGATCTGTGGCAAGAGGTTCTCCTTTTGAAACAATTACCCCTTTTACAGTGTGGATATCTGTGAGAACAATGAATATGATACACTGACAAATAAGTCCAACTCTGAAAATAAACAGAGGAAACAAGCTTTATTTTTATTATTTGAAATTTGTGTGTGTGGTAAGATACAACATTTGATTGATTTTTCCTAGGTTTCCAAGACGGATTAAATTTTAAAAGTTTTTATTGTAGGCTAAAGCATCAAAAATACCACAGCACACATGAAGCTAAAACTACACACATACAAACACTTTTTGATGCACATCTTTCATCCTCGACCTTAAGCAAACAGTTTGTATTTTGTCCTCGAGGGGCGTGGGGGAGGGGAGAGAAGAACAAATGGCTAGAATATTTCAATATCAGTTTGAGAATGCAAGACTTTATATGTTCTATACACAAAACATATGAAACTGATTTACAAAAATGGAATGTACAAAACTTAAAAAAATGTATATTCACTTCTAGGACTGGAAAGGTATAATGTATTAAATGATACAGATTTCTAGCACAGGGATATTGCTGTACGCTATGCAAAATATGGAACATTCCCATGTCATAAAGCAAAAGCATCAGGGTTAAGGCTGTGTTGCTCACAAACATTAACTGAAGTGCAGTATATTCATCAGAAACATCATAACCAATTTAGGATCATCCTACTCTAAGTACAAATATCTTTCATACAATCTCCACAAACAGACCAAATAATCACTGCTCACAATTCATCTTCAAGAAAGTTCTGAATGTACATCATGAGTTCATAACTTGTTGTCATCCATAAACAAAAATCATTTCCTTATAACATAACTTATTGGGCACTTATAGTTTTCATTATGGCAACACTAGATCCTTAGTTATAAAAAAATATTAACAAAATTATAAAGTTGAAAGCCCTGTAACTTTTACAGAACATACCAGCATTTACTAATTAACAAGTCTCCAACACCATTAGACAATGTTTGCCTCAAAACATCTTCATTTTCCTTTTCAGTTACATTGCTGAAACTTTAATCAATGTAAAAAAAATGCATTAGTGTTTGTTCAGGATTTAACTGAACAGATACTTTTCTTCCATTTCAAAAATTAATAAATATATAGTCCACTAGTTTGTCCTAAAATAGTGCAGATAACATAACTTCCAGAAAACCATCTGACATTACTTCCATAGTTTAAACAGAACTCATACCTCCACCACTCCTCCGCTGTGTTGCCAATCTCCTAGCATTCCATTGAGGTCAGTGGAACAGTTAGGGTGTACATGGCAGTACAGGAGGCGTGTTCTACCTGGAGCCTTTGATAGATGTTAATAGCTCAGAAGACCTAATAGTGCAATTCAGGCAGTTACTTAATTGGAAGAGAAAAGAATCTGTCACCATAAAATATTACCAAATTTCTACCATGATTGCTGTCTTTAAGGTCTTTTAGCCAAGTGTTTTAGCTGACTAGGTTTCCAAAGCACACTGTGAAAGCAATGCATTTCTCAGTCTTCTTGTTCCAGGAAGATAAGGTTGGCATTGTAAAGGGACTGCATGATATCATTGAGTTTAAAACTGCAATTGGGAAGTATTTGCTGTGTAAGCAGAATTCAGATTAGGGGCAGTTGTCAGCACTGGTCAGTATCAGTGGGTGCTGCATTGATGACAGGTTCTGAAAACTCAACACAAAAGATGAACAAGGATCTAGAAGGAGAAGGCCACATCTCCTAAATGTATTAGTAAATGGATTATGTAAGAGTTCCAGATTTCATCAAGATGTGACAGATTGACATAGATTAATTAAAGCCTTATTTATTAATATTAGATCAAAGGAACTCTTATTTTTTGAAAATCTTTAGAGGAACAATGTACATACATGTTATGTACACATGAAATGGTATCTTGAGTATGTGTTTTATAGAACTTTTTCAAGAGACCATTTAGGGACTGATCCCTGTGGGCCTCAGAATTTCTGTGTCAATGGAGGATTTGGCCTGTACTGGTTCCCCTCCCCCCTTTCCCTTCTTTCCATGAAAACTCTTCCATTTATCTCAATCTTAGTAAAAATATTTTTTACAAAAATCTAAATTTTGGGCCAAATTAATACCGTCCTTTAAAAATAATCCACAGCAATAGATTTATAATTTTATTCAAGGCCTTAACATAGAAAATAGGTGGAACTTTTTTCTTGGTTAATAAATACAGTTGAAATGTTACATATAGAATATTCTTTTTCCTTAGTATGTTAATAGTTTTCCAAGTGCTCCAATGACAGAGTGATTGTGTGTCAGAGTGTTGGCTAGAAGGCTCCTTCTAGAAGGATCTAGAAGTTTAAGAGGATAATTCATAGTGAAATAATGGATGGGACTCTATCCTCCTTGCAGAATTTTAGGACAAACTAAGTTCAAACACAAAATACCTTGCCCTCTTGATAATACTTGCTTGGTTTTTAAAATTTAGAAAATGTTATTACCAATTTTCCAGCTACATTTTATACTCCAACACTGCAGCCCTTAGAGAAGCCAGTCATCCTACTGAAATCATGAGATTAATTTTGTCTGCAAGGGTTTGCAAGATTGGGCTCTAAGTGCAAAAAATAAGCAAGAGAAGGGGGAAAAAACCCCAACAAATATAACAATTCAAAAAATAGACAACTTCATCCTCATGAATTTCAAGGTCTGCTTCTTTACAGAAAATTGATGTTATGCACATTTCTCAAGAGAGCTGAAACAACAGATTTAACTTGTTAGAAACAAAATAATACAAGTAATTTAACAAAAATCAACTTCAATTTTGCAGACATACTTAAGATGGTCCCCCATCTACTTTCCTCTTTAAAAAAAAATAAAATAAAATAAAGATTCCTAAATAAAGAAAAGGTACTACTCCAAGATTATTTCAGCCATTGGCACCATACTGACCATAGCCTCTCTGCACAGGGTTGAGAGAGGGCATGACCCTGTATTCATGAACAGTGCCAACACATCTTTTGAGACTCGACTTTACAATTCTTTATAAAATTAGTGCTTCTTAAAATGGGCAGGTTCACATTATACACAGGAAAATACAAAATTTGGATCTATTTTAAGTAAGTCATATGACTAAGCATTTTAAATTAAATTGGAGTTTCAGAAATATAGTAGAGATGGGGGAGCGGGGAGAGACACTCCTTTTTAGAGTGTTGCCATCCTCAAATGGCTTGCTGAAATCACTGACACTTACTTTCTTTATTCCTGTGTCAAACAAACATACACACATACATAATGGGACAAATCCTGCGGTCCTTATTTTGTCTTCAGAAAAACATCTAATTGACTAAGGACTTCAGATATTGGTTCAATTCACTCTTATTTGTAATGTACTTTTCTCGAGTTAAATAGCTTTGATAACCCTTGGCTGTCACCATACAACATTTGTTAACCACAGTTCCTTTGGTTGTACAATGTAGGTCCTCCAAAGGAGTACCTGTGTGGCTTTCTGTCCTGTGTGATATGTTGATGAATATATCGAGTTGCCTTTAGAAAGTATGCCAAAGAACACGTATGGAAGAATTGCATACATGAGGATAGGACATTATAATGACCCTGATTCTAATGACTTTGTTTGGTGTTAATGGATCTGTCATTCTACAGAAAGTCAGCAGTAACTAATGTATCATTACAGTGCAGTTTTTCCAAAGCTGTAGAAATTTTAGGTCTCTAGAAAGAGCTTACAACACAGTGAGCAGTAGGAGGGGTTGGAAACAAGCACATGAAACAATCCTTCATTAATCTCACAAAGAGTAGGAAATTTGCGTCGATTTGTATAATACTAAAAGTTGAGCTGTGTTATGTCTGGCAAATAGAGCTGGAAGGATTTTGCATGACTTAACGTTATATCTTTACTAAAAGAGCCTATCTGTAATAGTTACTAAGACTGAAGAATGTTACATGTGCAATACCTACCATGATAATGAGATCTAAAAGACTCCCAGTCTTCACTGTTGGGTTAAATAATGCATAACAATGACACTTTTCAAATTTGGAAGCTCTGAACGGGAGCTACCCTTCACAGGTTAAATAAACCCCTTCAAATAGTTTAGATATTTTCATTTTATTTTATTTGCAAAATTAGTCAACTACTTAAATTCCCGTTCCACAAGCTGCAGTTCACATGTTTAATATTTCATTGTCCTAATGAATTCAGCAAAGGAGGGTTTTGTTTATTAACCCGTACAATAAATTCAATGAGGAACATAAGAAGTGCAAGTCCTATGTAAACAAGGTAAGTTTGGAAATAAACATGAAAAGTCCACTGGAGACTCCTTCAACATTAAAAAGTAATTAATTAAAGTACACATCCTCCACAGAGAGATCGATTAAGGATCTCTGGGACCAGTCGTTTGTTAAGGGCCAGGCAGCTCCAGAGCCCATTGTTACTGTAAGTATCGATAGACCTTGAAGCAGTGATTTCCAGAGTCTGCAACTACAACATGGCCATCTGAAGTTAGCGCCAGACCTTGGGGACCATAAAGTGGGTCAGCAGATGTGTTAATGTAGGATAAAAAAGATCCGCTTCCATCAAAAACCTTTAAGGAGAGAAAATACATAAGTAATGTTATCTGTATTAATAGGGATAAAAATAATGGATCAAATTATGTTCTCAGCTGGACAAGTGTAGATCTGTAATATTTCCACTGATTTCAGGAGCTCTGGATTTCCACCAGTGTAAACGGGAACAGAACTTGACCTCCTATTCTCAAATATAAAAATTCACATTTAAAAATATTTATTTTTACTTATAATAAATTAGAAAGCCTATCTAGGGCTGTAGGTGCCTTTGCCAAAAAATAAACATATAATCAAATTAAAAATAAAACCAGCAGCTGTTCCTCATTCCAAAAATAACTATCCCCGATAAATCAAACCACCACTACCCACCTCCCTCCCCTAAAAGGATCAGCCTTCATCATGCTTCTCTCAAATCCTAGTAGATAGGTCCTCAGGGTGCAGCAAAAGCAGGGAATAGATTACAAAGTTGAGGGCCTTTCACAGAGAATTTCCTGCCAGTATCTTTCTTTTTTTATATCAAATGAACTCCAGCTGAAGCATCTCTGCTGATACATGTATTTAGTTGCTTATTAGATATTCTTTGGCAAGGGAGAGTAAATGAGAAAGGACTGTAATTCATACTTGAAACAGAGCAGTGCAACTTTCATCACAAATGCAGAATAATTTTCTCAATAGGGGTGGAAAAAAAAAAAAGAATGATAAAAAGCTACTGGGGATTTGTCTCAGTGCCTGAATAGAATATTTTCTTTTTTCTGTTATTTAAGTATGTCCCCTACCCTCAGTTACAGGGGCTATACATTATTACTGCCTGTACAGTACTGTATAAACTCCCTATGGGCAGTAGTTGTATACCATTTCTCATCTGACTTCAACTGATTTGTATAGTCCAGTGCATTATGGAGTATCTCAGCCCTAGTGTTAAAGGGCCAGTATGCACCAGAGGTGGCAGAAGCAGAGTAGGGTTTTCAGTCTGCTGTTGCAGAAAGTAGGAGCAACCAATCTACTCATCCCCGAGGAGGCAGATTAGGAGGAGCAGGCTCCCAAGTCACTAACTGAAGAGTGAGGATGGAGGAAATGGGTCTGCCAGAAATCCACGAGAAAGCCTAGGCGGAGACAGACTAGAAGATTACTGTGCCTTTCTCCCAGAAGACAAATTAAAAATAATATGAGAGGCCCAGGCTATGAGGAGAAAGAGAATCTTGGGGAACATAGGCCGGTCCTATTGGAGGAAAAGGAAAGGTCTCTGGCCACTCACATCTTCACCCTGTAGCCCCTTCAGGGCCCCAAAAGCACCATTTCATTCTTTTTGTCCTCCCCCTGGAGGCTAGCTGAGGATTTCTACTCCTTCCTTCACTGCTTTGATCAGGAAGAGAGTAGAGTCCCTGCTTCGGCAGATGGCTGAAAGGTTGTCAGCTAGGCCCTGCAGGCAGAACTAGAAGTGCTTCTCGGCAAAAATAAATATCTGGCAGCCCAGTATTTCTTGTGAGATATTAAAAAAGTTATTTGGCTGCCCAAAGAGCACCAATACCTGCGCCATTCAGCAATTTCATTGTTCGATTTTCCCTACCCTGAATACTGCAGTAAGTCTGTGTCCCAGTTCTGAGGTACATAACATACCAAGATTAGTGTGAAATATCAAAGGGGTAGGGTTGGTATTAATTCACGAGAGCCATAAATCTTCAGACTGCTGTCAGTAGTGTGGCCTATGGAAAATACAGTGGAGTTGTTGTGGTAAAGACTCCTATTCTCTAAAGTGGGCAAAACATCACCATCAGCCTTGTTAGCAGTCATAGCAAAGATTCTAAGGACTGAAAGAGCATGGAGTTAGTCTATCCTACCACTCCTTAAAGTGGTCCTGCAGGTCAGCACTGAGGCATAATAAAACTTGTGCCTGTTTTGTGGGAAACAGAGGGCTTCATTTTCCAGGACTATCAATCCAGTACCTTCCAGAAGCACTCTAATAACTTTAAAAATATATAACATTTTGGTCTACCTGTATTCGACTGTTTCCCCAATCTGCTACAATAATATTTCCATTAGAATCTACAGCTACTCCTGTTGGAGCATTAAACTGTCCATTGCCTTCTCCATTAGATCCAAACTTCAACATGAATTCTCCTTCCTGGTTATATACCTATATGAAGTTTAAAAAAAAAAAAAAGGCATTAGGTCAAATATTACTTAAACTCTAGCTAACCTGAGCAGTTTTGGTTGTCCAGTTCACTGCCACTGGAATGACCTGAGAACAACTTTGTAAGTAAAGTACAAGACTGGGTATTAACCAGCACACAAGAATCTCTATACTACTTGATAAGCCTGTCTTTTCTGTACTCCCTGATAATTCTGTAGGTAATTATGTTTCTCATTTTATTTTCTGGGGAAGTTTTGCCCTCATTTAGAAGCATTATATTTACCTTACCAAAAGGCATTAGAGTACATGCCATATGCTCAGAGTGATGCTTATGTGTATCTGTAATTTTTAAATAGCCATAGTTTTTTATTATATCTACATTTTATTGTGTTCAGATGCTTAAATCGTTAACATTTCATTTTTCGGCTTTAGAGGAGAGGGGAAATAGTCAGCCAAGAATGAAGTTATTGTTGTAATTACTGCCAATACCTGAACTAGCCTACACCCTGAGTAACCAGTTTATTAAAAATAAGAAGTACCCCCTCTCTAGAATCAAATATGAACCAAAACCTTTCTAACCACACATTTTCTGATCTTTAAAGACAAGACCCACCTCCACTCTCTTCTCTTTCCTATATGGAAATACATGGGAGAAGACAGATTTTGCCTTTCCTCCTCGCACCAATCCCGTGATCTGCTGACATACCCCCTCTTCTCACTTTAGGTCTGATCTACTATGAGTGTACAGGGGGCGGGCACATGGATCCTACACTAGGAACTAGTGAGTGCAAACAAAAGAGCAGTGGGATGAAGCAGGGACATAGCTGGTATGGATGAAGGCCATACAAAACAATCAGAGGGAACAAAGCATGCTGCACCCTCTGTATGGGTAGCACAGCAGTTGTTCACTGTGAAGATGTGCATACTGTTTCTTTAAATCTATGGCTTCTTCCAACTGCCTGGGTCTCTGGTTGGGACTATAAATTCCCAGCATGGTCCTAGACAAACCAGGACAGTTGCAAACTATGAAAAATGATCCCTCTTCAGTCTCGCTCTACCCAAAGGAATGTCTCCTCATCACATCAAGATTAGTGACAGAACCTTTCCAGGTCTCTCTTTCATGGGTGGGGAAATCACAATAACCTATGTGAGGGAGGAGGAGGAAAGCAGACCAGCTAAATGCAGAAAAGAAACCAGCCCATCTGCAAATGAGGTGCTTAGCTAATAAATAAATAAATAAAACTGTAGTCCGAAAAGATGACAGAGAGGAATGGAAGAAAAAAGTTGGACAACAGACTTTTCTCATTAGACAGGTGGCAAGAGAAAACATACTGTTGCGGAACACCTGGAGAGGTGGAAGAAGAAAAGAGAAAACAATTCATGGGGTATGGAGATGAATTAGTATGCAAGGCTGGCTCCTGAGATGATAAAAAAAAAAAGTGGAGGGAGGAAGGGAGGGCGAAAAATCAATTGATGGCAAGAGAAAAAGAGAAAAGAGGCAGAGATGTGTGTTTATCTATTTCTGGTGAAGAACGGGACATCATTGAGAGGAAGTAGTCAGGGTCAAATGGGGTGCTATGCGGGAGAGAAGAAAGAAAACAAAAACAAAACCAAACATCCATGGGGGGATATGAGGGACAATTATTGTCAAGGGATCGTTTTTCACTTAAGCTGGGGGGTGGAGGGAGGAAGGCTGGTGGAGGGTTTTAGGTGCATAAGGTGAATTTTAGGGATTTGCTCTCTGCTTTTCTCTCACCTTTTAAGAAGAAAACTTAAATACCACCAGAATGCACAGAACTTTCCAACATGTTGACAATTATATACACAAAAAAAGAATAAAAGGGGCAATGTTTTAATTTAGTTTTAATACCATCAAGATAGAACAAACAATATTGTTATGCACTGAATTAAATCAGGGCCAAATGGGAACTCTTTAATCTAACAAGGAAGACAGTAATGTGTGCATTTTAAATTCGTATTTAATGAATTAGATGCCATATTTCTTACTTCTCTTTTGACTGGCTTTTGTGTCTCGTAAGCTGCCACTAGTTTCTGAAGCGGTCTGCAGTCACTCCTATTACTGCAGTAAGCCCTACTGGTGAAGATATAATTTATCAAATCAGAGCCCTCCTACTGCTGAACCACGTAACTAATCTGCTTTATGGCTCCTGCAGTGCTCTTGCTTTTTCTGTTGTAATCCAAACCACATGAGTTGCTATTGCCTCTCTAATTCCCAAAAAAACCCATATGAAATGTCACAATTCAAAAGCTAGAGGTTTAGTACCAGATTAAAGATAGTAAATTACAGTACCTTTTATTATTCATGTGACAATAATCAGTAACATTTTTGAAGTAAATGATAAAATTTGTGGCTCTACGATGTGAATATTGATCAAGACAACTAAATCTTGATATTCAGCAGACCAGGAAATTAATGGATGAAATCCCAGCTGCATTAAAAGTCAATGTCAAAACTTCCATTGACTTCACTGGAGTCAGGATTTCACCCAAATATATTTAATTTCATACCTCTGAGAACTTCTTGAAGCATAGCAGCATTCTTTTTGGGTGTGTGGGAGTGCTGGGGTGTGTTTGATTTATGTTTTTTTGCGGGAGAGAAGGGAAAAAACTAGCATTCCAAATTGGAGAGGAAGCTTGAAGTCCAGGAAAAAAAAATTATGCTGGTGAGTAATAGCTTCTTCCAAACTCAGTGGCCTCCCACCAGCATACACCATCTCTGATATGCTATCTGAATGGTAAGCATCGTTCCTGCCCTATATATTACTAACCAGAAATGTAACTACTTGTCATAGGACTTTTCACCCAGTCATGAACCAGGACTCTTCTTAGGGCTGCAATAGACATCACCAACCCAGTGACCAATCCTGCTCAATGCAGGAATTACTGAGTGAAATTCTATGGCTTGTGTTATGCAGGGGCATAACACAATATGGTCACAAATGGTCCCTCCGGTTTTAAAACCTATGTATCTAGGACAATGGAGATGTACATTTAACATGTGGCCTTCTTTTACTATTCTTTGTTATACTAGTTTTAATCTAGAAGTGAGGGAAACATTTATTGAGAATACCTAAAGGAAGGGGGGGGGAAAAATCTTTCAGAAAATAAACAGAATACAATGTATAAGAAATTATTTGCCAGGAGGGCAAAATAACAAACACTTCTGATTATTTTTTTATATCTGAGTTACAACTTGCATTTAAATGTTATTTCATTAGGGGGAAAAAAATCAAAAATTACCCCAATCCAAGAAATCAACTTTATCTACAAGAAATTATTTGTTAAATCTCTGGATTCCCAGTCCTTAATGAGGCCCTTCTTTCTTATCCAAATTTGTGAATTAGACCTTGGACCAACAACTCCATTGTATTACAATAGAGCTTAATTTTTATTTTAGTTTAGGAAGGAAAATGTTAAAAGCTAATATGAACTGCCAGAATAGCAAATAGCATTAATTGACAGTACCTTGACAGAATGGTTATGGAAATCTGTAACAATGATTTCATTGTTGCTGTTTACAGCTGCAAAATGAGGACCTGAAATACAGAAGAGGGAAAATAAATAAAATAATAATAAGATAATTAGTAAACTTCAAAAGTAAGGATTTTTACTTAATTTTTTAAGTTATGACAAAAATCCATTGCACTCTTTAAAAAATTAAGGTTGACTTCTGAGCAATCACTAGTCAAGTAGGAGGGAACAAAAATTTAGAATCTTTTCATTCCATTTTCTAAGTAAGATGGTACATTTTTTTTAATTGGCATATGCTCTGTCCTCCATCCACTCATCTATCAGTAATGCCTAATGTCCTCCCAGTTACACACTATTATATGGGGTTATTATCATTAACTAGCACTGGTACTTAAGGACACTAATGTTCAGGGATAGAGCAAGGTATAGAATGCAGCAAGATTTCTGAAATATTCATACACATTTTTTAATGAAGTCACCCATATACTTTGTGTTCACTCTTCACAAACATTTGAGTCATCAAGTTTTAGAACAAACACAAAACTGATGTTATCATACGTAAAGCAAATTCACTTAAATATATGAATATTATCAGAAAAAAATGCATTTTTCACCCAGCTCCATATATCAAAATTGCACATGCATGTTTTGGTCGAAACCAATTTGTTAAATCCAAAACACACAAATATTTGGGCTAGAAGATCTCAGTGCCATGCTACTTAAGTAATTACAACAAGTCAACACAATACAAAGTTCCAGTTTTGTGATAAGTTCATAAAGTAAATGTGAAAATATATACAATGCGTACATTCAAATAAAGATTGAATTCAAGTAACTTGTGATCTGCTATGGATATTCCACCAGCAGAAAGAGAATGTAAATTGATCAAATAAATTGTTAGAGATTACTTGTTCAGCTGTACTCAGGAATTCATACCTACAAATTTTAAAAAGAAAGGAAAACAGCAAATCCAGAAAATTTTGGTAACAATTAATATTTAGCAAAGCTAGAGCTAAAACTCCAGTGAATAATATGCAGTTATAAGTGTACCATAAAGCACTATTAGAATAGGGAATCTAATAAAGCCAAAACACATTCAGCTACCTACTCTACTAGAAAGGTAACTTTTGACAAGATTATAACAGTGTACAATTTAAGGCAGTATTCCTCCCATTCTGCACACTTATCAGAGCTCCAGACTAACATTGGGGACAGTGACAGGGTTTGCTTACCCCGCACTAGCCCAGACAGGGTTAAGCCACAGGTATGGACAGCGGAAGTCCAGCCTCCCTGGCGAGACTGGGCATGCTCCAAGTGCTCTAGTAGTAAAGGGAGGAAGACCAGCTCATTTTGGGCTGGAGGCCGCAGGGGAAGGACCTGCCTGGGAAGCTCCTGCGGAGGGCCAGCCAAAGCCTCTCACTGCACCGGGAATTGAAGCCGTCCACGGCCCGCCTGCACCCCGGTGACTGGAGGAAACCCTGGAGACAACTGGCCCTGCCGAACACAGAGGACCCGACATCTCATGGGAAACCCCAACACAGACTCTGGTAGGAAGTGACCCAGGGAGGATGAAGGAGTGGTAACTCCCACCCGAGGAAACTCAGCTTGTTTTGGTAGGACCCCTCCCCCCCACTGAGTCAGTGGCAAGCCGCTACGCCATTGTTAGGGCCCTGGGTCGGGGCCCGGTAGAGTCAGGTGGGCCCGGACCCCCTTACCGGGGCTGCCCCACCCCATAAGGGGCGCCCCAATGCTGTGTAGACTCTGGCCGCTAGGCCATGCTGTCCTGCACCCAAGGGTGGTGCTATAGACTCTGGCCGCTAGGCCACGCTGTCCTGCACCCAGGGGCCGCTTTGTAGACTCTGGCCACGAGGCCGCGCTGCCCTGCACCCAAGGGTGGCGCTATAGACTCTGGCCGCTAGGCCACACTGCCCTGCACCCAAGGGTGGGGCTATAGACTCTGGCTGCCAGGCCGCGCTGCCCTGCACTGAAGGGCTGATTCATAGACTGTGACGGATAGACCATGCAGCCCTGACCCTAGGGGCGTGGACCGTCACACGGACATTATCCAAAGTGACCAAGCACCTGCAAAATGATCTAGACAAGTCACTTGGAGTCGCAAAGTTAGGTATGCACAAAAGTGCATGCCTAATTTTCACAATTATATGTGCAAACTGGATAATGGCATGTGCAAATGGCCAATTAGACATGTAACTGGCATTTTTCCTGAAGTAGCTATTTCCTCTCACATGATTGTCCATGCCTAAATTTGCACTTAAAGTCTCTATGCCCATTTTCACAGTGTCAAGAAGGGGAAAAAAATTATTTACTCATTTATCTACATAGGATTAGTTAATAGTTGCATGGTTCTTCGATGATTGTAAAGTGCTGTATAAGTGTTAATTATTATCAGCAGCTGAGTGCAGACATTACAAGGCATTCATCAAATGCCTATTATGATCTATCTTCCCTAGGTCATTAGCCTGAAACATAGCCAGGCAAAGGGAGGTAGCTAATAAGAACTGGTTACAATTATTGGTGAAGAACAAATTTTTTAATCTTCCTGACTGATTAAACTAACTGCAGAGTCGTATGTTAAAATGTGAACCCAACAAGGCGTAATACTAATATTTCAGAGCTGTCTTTCAAAGATGGATTTACCTTTTGAAAAAGACTAAGATGACTGAAGTTCCTAGAATGTAGCACCAATTAAGAAAATTAGCATGATGAACTTCTGAACAACTTCCAGGTTTAAGAAAAAAGTCTCAAAGACCCTTCCTTTTCCTGGTGCAGCTGCTGAAAGCTGAAGATTATACTTTGGCTTTTCTTCCCATCCATTTTTTAAATGACAAGGAAAAATAATTCAGATCTCGCGTCTTCAACATGCTCAAACATCATGCAAAATGTGAGCAGAAGAAGCAAGAAAAGGGGATTTACATATTACCGTCAAGTGTACCTGCAAACTGCTTGTCCCCATTTCCTCGGCTACCAAACCTGGTTACTATTTTTCCATTTGGCTGGAAGATAAATACACAACATGCTTTGTTGTCCACAACAATGATGTGCCCATTACGATCCACGGAAACACCTTTTGGTCCCATAAGTTTTCCAGATCCAATTTTTGCCTGCAGGAGAAAAGAAGGAAAAAATGATTGATTTTGTGAGATACACATAGAATCACAGAATATCAGCGTTGGAAGAGACCTCAGGAGGTCATCTAGTCCAACCCCCTGCTCAAAGCAGGAACAATCTCCAAAGAGATTTTTGCCCTAGTTCCCTAAATGGCCCCCTCAAGGATTGAACTCACAACCCTGGGTTTAGCAGGCCAATGCTCAAACCACTGAACTATCCCTTCCCACATAACCAAGGTCAATTCAGGGATCTACTGTAATTTATAATCTTTTTATAAACATGGTGTGCCAAGTGAAACTTAATCCTCTAAAATTTACCAGACAGTTTAACTGCGGACGTAAGATTTATTACGAACATTTTCATTACTTTTTTTTCATTTTAAGAAGAAAAGTTGCTGAAATATAGGCCCTTTCTAGGATGGAAAGCTATCAGCATTCAAGGCATAAGTAGGCAGACTTAACCTTGCATATACTAAATTCTTTGCACGCTGTGCCGTGTCAGCAATTGTAGAAGCCAAGCACATACAAAGCCAAACACCTAGCTTGATATCAAGTGCAAATACAGTAGAACCACAGAGTTACAGACACCTCGGGAATGGAGATTGTCCGTAACACTGAAATGCTCACAACTCTGAACAAAGCTCAGTTTGGGCTCCAGATCCAGCAGCTGATACTCCAGGCCAGGATTCAACAGAAGCTGAGTTCCCTACTCAGAGGAGGGTGGGGTAAAAGCAGCAAGGCCCCCTGGCGTGAACGCTGCACAGAATGCAAGGCTGCTCTTGCTCTGCTGGCTCGGGCTGCCAGCCCCTGTGTCTTGCTGTAAGTGACTGCCCAGGGGTGGGGTGGGGTGGGGTGGGTACAGGCAGCACAGATTACCTACTTTTAAGATGCAATAAAGGCATAGTATAGTACTTGCCTTGGGGGGAGGGCGGTCTCAGCTGCTGCCTGATTGGTTACTTCTGGTTTCACATGGTGTCCGGTTGACCGGTCAGTCTGTGACTCTGGTGTTCATATCTTTGAGGTTCTACTGTATGTCAAATTTTATGTTGTTGATGAAACTGGAGTCTCTGGGAGGAAAAATTGTGGGCCAGACTGTTGCCAACCCTTGTTCAGATGCAGGGGTGGGAGGAAGGTACAAAGGACCTCTACCTTTTGGGTACCTGCTCCAAGTCCAGTTACCTGAAAGGAGTAGAGAAGGGCACGGCCAGGACCTGATCCCCAGGCCATCAGAGCTGGCTGGGGATATGGAGTGTGAAGAAGCATGCTGCAGCCTCTCTTAGGCTGGGTCTACACTACAGCGGGGGGTCGACCTAAGATACGCAACTTCAGCTACGTGAATAGCATAGCTGAAGTGGCGTATTTTAGGTCGACTTACCTGGCTGTGAGGACGGCGGCAAGTCGACCGCTGCCGCGCCGCCGTCAACTCCGCTACCGCCTCTTGCCGCGGTGGATTTCCGGAGTCGACGGTAGAGCCATCAGGGATCGATTTTATCGCGTCTTCACTAGACGCGGTAAGTCGATCCCCAATAGACCGATTGCTACCCGCCGGATCGGCGGGTAGTGAAGACGTGCCCTTAGTGCCTGTTAGCACAGTGAAGGAATTCTGATGGAGCCAAAGCCCAATCTAGCTTCAAATATACTGTACTGGGCCTCTCTGACACTATACTGCTCACAGCTTAGAAATGTGGGTTCATCAAAACTTTTTTGACCAGCTGTAGTTGAAGGTTCCAAAAATCTTGATTTTATGCAAATGAGTCAATGCTCAAATCTGTATCTTTGATTAATACACTGCCTTATTTATAAAAATGATAGCAGATGTCCTAATTATCAGAATTTCTGCCTGACAAGAAGAAAGCATGGACCAAGCTTTAGAAACATGGGAGTTGCTGTGCTCCTGGGTGGCCCTGGCATTGCCCTGGGTTGATGTCCAGATGGCTCCTTGAGGCTCTGGCCTAGTTTCTCCTTGTCCTGGACTGGGTGAAACACTGTGGTTAGGTTGCTGGATCCCCTGGGCCTGACTGCAGCTTTTTCTGAACTGGTAAGGGGGTATGGATGGGCTGCTGGCCCCTAGCTGGGTGCCCTTCTCTGACAGCTCTCTGCCACTTGCTCCCTGGCTGGTGGGAGGGGTTCTGACTGTGGTTGCTGTTCCCTGGCTATTGTTCGCAGGCCCTGTGGCCAAGAAGAAATGATTAACATGTTATCCTGTGTCACTGTGCCATAGCTCTGAGTCTGTTGCCATGTGACTTGTGGGGCTAGTGGAGACAAAGCATCAGGAAAGTGAAACTTTTCTCCTTAGCATGGGAGTCAGCTACAATAAACCAGCCAAGTCCTGTAACTATGGAGATGCTTGGCCATAGCTCCAAAGAAATTTGCTTACTGGCTCTAATGGCTGTTAAAATGGTGCAAAGGGAGGAGTGACTGGAATGAGGAAAAAAGTGATAAAAATGACATATAGAATAAGATCAGAACAAAACTCTGATGTGACCCTCAATGGTGCAGCCTAACAACTAGCAGACTTCTTGCATCAGATAAGCTGCCCAGTATTTCATGCCCTTCTTCAATCAGAATCACTATTAATACTTTGTATGTTTATCTACAGTCTCAAAGCGCTTGGCAAACATTGCTGACTTTAACCTCATAAAACCCCAGTGAAGGAGGGAAGTATTATTGTTCCCATTTTACAGATGGGGAAACAGACAAGAGATGAAGCGATTTGCTCAAATTCTATAGCAAGTCTAGCAGAGCTAGAAATATAACAGATCTTCTGAATCCCCATTCTGTGTTTCAACCATAAGACCAAGCCTGCCCACTATATGTAGAATACTTATTTAATAGTCTTGAATTTCTCTCACAAATACAGTCCATTCTGTTTACATATAAAAAAGTTTTATATTTAAGTTTTCCTCTCCCATTTAATCATTCTGACTACTAGCACCATAAAGTCTGATGTATTGACTTGTACTAGATACACAAAGATATTGCCAACTTTTTTTTTCCTTTGCAGAGCTCCTATAGTCCAACAAAAACACTTACTAAACCAAACAAAGCTGGTCTGTATGTCATGTATATGTCCTTAATATTAACATTTTGAATACTTGTCTCTGTGCTGGCAGGGAACACTGCACAGGATACTGGTTCCCAGAATAACCATCCAGTTTGCTTAATTTATGTTCAATCTAGGGGAACTAAAGAAAATGGCACTCCAGCATCTTCCTCCAATCCAAGCCAGTTTACATGGAAGATTTTAATTATTTATACAATGTTCCAATTACTCCAAAGGTTTGAATCTGATCCCAGTTGCACCTGTTCTACACCAGTCTGTCTTCAGTTCATTCATTGACTTCAATGGAGTAATTTGCCCTAATCAGAGAGGAGAACCAGATCCCCTGAGTATCTGAACATTTTGGAAGCTATTTTACCTTTATAAGGGAACTACCTCATGTTTCATACACACACCTGAGACATTCTATATTTTTTTAAAACAACAATTGGTTAATTACTGATCTTCAGGTAAAAGTAGAACAAGTAGGAAATACAGCTGCACACACCTTAAGGCTATGTGACTACACAATTTACTAAAAGGGGTGTCATTGAAGAGATTATAACTGTCTGCTATAGAATGAGTTATTTAGTAAATAGCAGCCAAAAGGAGGGCATTTCCTCCCTGTTAATAGTCATCTGGAGGAGCTCAGGCCTGAGATTTTGGGTTGTTAACTGCCAGAAAATGCCAACTAGAAAATTATGCTCCAAAGCCAGACTCTGTGAATGAGAAAGTAGGTTGGTAGTTTCTCAGCAGGTCTTTTATGTGACTGAAGAGCATATTGCCATCTCACTCAATCCTGCAGCCTCTGTCTCAGACTTAGGCCTGGTCTACACTAGCCTGTTATTTCGGAATTAGCAGTTATTTCGAAAAAAAAAAAAAAAGATTCCGTCCACGTGACCAAACCATTTTTTTCGATTTAAAGGGCTCTTTAATTCGATTTCTGTACTCCACCTCAGCAAGTGGAGTAGGGCTTAAATCGAGATCGCAATCCCAGGTTAAAGGTATTGTGGACGCAATTCGACGTTATTGGCCTCCAGGAGCTATCCCAGGATGCTCCCTTGTGACCGCTCTGGTCAACACTCTCAACTCCAATGCACTAGCCAGGTGGGCAGGAAAAGCCCCGGGAACTTTTGAATTTCATTTCCTGTTTAATCACCAGCAGAACAGGTGACTACCAGCACAGTCCACCATCACAGCTCTTTGAAATCAACAGGGCTTTGTCTAAACTAGGGCTTAAGGTGTGATGTAGCATGTTAGCTAACACATGCTAACTAATGTGTATTAGAAATCTAATATAGACAAAGCACGCTGCCTTTAACATGTGCTAAACTGGCCAAGTTGAAGTCTAGTGGGAGCCTACTCCCATGAGTAAAGAACTACTTAATGTGAGTAATGATTGCAGAATCAGGCCTTACATAACACTCACAGGAAAGTGGGGCAAGAACACAGACTCTTTTGCTTTAAGTAAAGGAGAACACCTCTAACACTAATAGTACATCTTTATTCTTTCCACGTGCTGACCATTAAAGAATAACAGCATGCACTCACATACAAAGTCAGTACATTACTGTAAACTTCATTTCACTGAGAACGAAGAAAAAAAATCACATGCAGAAAGTTTTTCTTGAGCAATTAAGTACATAATCCAAAAGAGATTTTCTTGGTCACATCAAACTTTAAGGCCCAGTTTGTCTTGTCATGTGTGGGTGGCACATAGCTGGCACTGGTAAAATTTGTGAAGAACTAGAGGTTCTTCCTGACCACACACTGACCACAAAGAACTGTGGGACAAGCGATAATAGAGATGTGTTTCTAGCAAGTTCATAACTTTTATAGAATTTGCCCCTCTCTCTAGTGGAGATCTCACTAGGTCCTGTTTTATTGCTACTCGAATAATGTAATTCTCTCTACTCTGGGATGCCTGCAAGTCAACCAGCACACAATATGGCAGCCCACAATACAGCACTCGGGTGATCTTTTGTGAAGATGATAAACCTGCCTTGCTGTCTTTGCATTGTCTGCCAATAGGAAAATGGGTGAATTACAAACGTGTTTTGCTGACATGCATGTAGTAAACAGAGTAGGACGCACCTTTCTGGGGAACCAATTATCAATTTGGTATCCTTTTAAGACACTATGTTCTTTCTTTAACTGCCATTTGAAGGTCTCAACTCATTTAAGGTCACGGCCTCCAGGATATGAAATGGGCTACCACTGGAGGATCTGTTTCAGAGTGGTAGACGTGTTAGTCTGGATCAGCAAAAACAATGAGGAGTACTTGTGGCACCTTAGAGACTAACAAATTTATTTGGGCATAAGCTTTCGTGGGCTAAAACCCACTTCATCAGATGCATGGAGTAGAAAATACAGTAGGCAGGTATAAATACACAGTACATGAAAAGATGGAGGATCTGTTAATCTTCCCGCCTAGTCTTAAAGTACTAAAGACTACTTAATGATATGTCTGTGGAACTGTTTGGAGTTTGGCACTGTGTATTATTGTTGGGTGTTTTGCAATTCGAAGTTGTAGTATGGCACTCAAGCACCTATCTGATAAAAATTTTATTAAAAATATAATTCATATACTTTTGGTATCTCAATTTTGACATATTCCTATTTATTATTAAACTTGGTTTTAGGCGCATCATGGTTTTCCACAAGAAAAGAATGTATTTATTAATCTGTTTCACATCTCCAGTTCTCTTTCTCAAAACGAAACAAACAAATGTATTCCCTTGTTAAAAACGGTCAAAGTTTCATATTATAGCCTTACCTTAAATTTTCCATCTGATGAAAATATGCTAACCCATTTGTTATCATAGTCTGCAATAATGATGTCACCACTAGGATGCACAGCCACTCCTGTAGGCCTCTGCAACTGGCCAGGAGACCTTCCTCGTATACCAAAACGACTTTTGAACTGGCCATCATTGGAAAATATCTGTGATAAAAAAATATTTATTTTTAAAAGTAATTGTACATTAATCACAGTAATCTATTTCTCATGACATGGTCTTTGGCAAACAAGAAAATAATTAAAGCACTGGAAATATTAATTGTTACAGTCCCTTATCTGACTGTAATAATGAAACAATGTTACTGCACATATCTAAAACCTTTGGGCCCAATTTACAGAGAGGCCTCAACCAGGACCCTAGCTTTAAATGCAAAGTACTTGTTTACAGTACATAGCACCATTCTTGCAATAATCTCAAAATGCTTTACAGACATTAGTGAATTAATCTTCACAACATCTCTCTGAGGTAAGGAAGCATTGTGATTCCCGTATTATAAATGAAGAAAGTGAGGCACATAGACATTTAGCCAAGGTTGCACAAGAAGTCTGTGGAAGAGATGAATGTAGAATAGAATTTCAACATCTAATTACCTGAGTTAAGGGTAAATATTGGGCGATATCCTGGGAGGTGCTAAGGTACTTATCACCTCTTAGAATTTAGCCCACTGGCTATGTCTTCAAGACAGGTAATTAGATATTGAAATGCCATTTGTGGCTGCAAATACATGAAATGCAAGTGCAAAATTGTAAGAGCATGTTTAGAAGCAACTGATGAAAATTTGATTCCATGTCTCTTTGAAAACGTGTATAGTTTACTAAAAAAAACAAGTTTTTACTGCAGTTGACTCTGCGAATCCAATATTTTTAGGGAAGAGGAAACTATCACATTCATCTCCAACCATATGTGCAGTCAGAATGGAGCTGATAAATCCTTAATGGTGAAGCTGATACATGATAGAAGGGAGGGAAAAACAACCCACCCACCCAGCTTGATCTTCACACAGGAAATTGAATCTGAACACCTAAAACCAGGCTATTGTGGTCATTGGGGCTGCTGCTATAGAAATCAACATTTAGATCATAATATCAGAGAAAAGAGTAAATTAGACTGATGTGAAACTAAAAGGTATTTGAAAATGAAACCTACATTAGTTTTTTTTTTTTTTTTTGAGGAAAAACAATCAGATTATGCAACAGAGTTTGGGCACTGTATTCTGGATTTTATTTGGGAACACTGATTGAAGTAATAAAACTTGTAATGCAAAGTCAATATTTTTCTAATATGACTGCTGATCAATCTCATCTTTATATTCAAATATAATAAAAAGGGAAGCAATTCTAGCACATGTTGTAGCAGATCTGATATGAATCTGAAACAGCTACAATATTTCAAAAAAATCAGAGTGATCCTGAATGCTGAGCAGAGCAGGCTTCTCTATATTTTCTAGCCATGCTTGTATCTTACAAGACACAACTTTAATACAGTAAAATACTGATATTAAAAGAGACATAATACCTGTACACACTGGTTGTTACTGTCTGCAATTAATATTTTTCCATTTGTAGATGCAGCTACCCCCTGAAGATTTGTAAATTCCCCTTTGTTTCTTCCTTTGGTACCTTAAATTGGATATAAAGCACATAACAAATCAGGTTTCAGAGAGGTAGCCATGTTAGTCTGTATCAGCAAAAACAACGAGGAGTCCTTGTGGCACCTTAGAGACTAAAAAATCTATTGTTAAACTTATGCCCAAATAAATTTGTTTGTCTCTAAGGTGCCATAACAAATCAGATTACACAGATTTAATCAGTTAGGGCTTTTTCAATTCTAAGGGTATGTCTAACTACGAAATTAGGTCGAATTTATAGAAGCCGGTTTTATAGATATCGGTTTTATACAGTCAATTGTGTGTGTCCCCACGTAAAATGCTCTAAGTGCATTAAGTCGGCGGACTGCGTCCACAGTACCGAGGCTAGCGTCGACTTCCGGAGCGTTGCACTGTGGGTAGCTATCCCACAGTTCCCGCAGTCTCCGCCGCCCATTGGAATTCTGGGTTGAGATCCCAATGCCTGATCATGCAAAACAGTGTCGCGGGGGGTTCTGGGTACATGTCGTCAGGCCCCTCCCCCTCTGTCAGAGCAACGGCAGACAATCGATTCACGCCTTTTTACGTGGGTTACCTGTGCAGACAGCATACCACAGCAAGCATGAAGCCCGCTCAGCTCAGCTCACCGTCACCATATGTCATTTGGGTGCCGGCAGACGTGGTACTGTATTGTTACACAGCAGCAGTTAATTGCCTTTTGGCAGTGGATGGTGTATTACGACTAGTATCCGTCATCGTCGTATTCCTCAGTGAGTTCAATCAGAGGCACCTGGCCAGACATGTTTTGTCTCCTGGCCTATTGAACCGTCTTGAAGATGATAGCTAGCAGTCGTAGTACATCATTTTCTGCCAAGCACCCAGAAGATGCTGATGGCTATCAGTCATACTGCACCGTCTGCTGCCAGCTTAAGATGTAAAAAAATAGATGGACCAGATTTGTTCTGTATTCATTTGCTTCCCCCTCCCTCCGTGAAATCGACGGCCTGCTAAACCTAGGGTTTTGAGTTCAATCTTTGGGGGGGCCATTCTGTGTGACAGTTGTTTGTGTTTCTCCCTGATGCACAGCCACCTTTGTTGATTTTAATTCCCTGTATCTGTACGCCATGTCGTCAGACGCCCCTCCCTCCCTCCGTCAGACACTAGTTTTGCGCCTTTTTTCAGACCAGACGCCATAGCACTGGGATCATGGAGCCCGCTCAGATCACCGCGGCAATTATGAGCACTATGAACACCACGCGCATGTTCCTGGAGTATATGCAGAGCCAGGACATGCCAAAGCAAAACCAGGACTATCCGAGGAGGCGATTGCAGCGCGGCGATGAGAGTGATGAGGAAATTGACATGGACATAGACCTCTCACAAAGTACGGGCCCCAGCAATGTGCAAATCATGGTGTTACTGGGGCAGGTTCATGCCGTGGAATGCCGATTCTGGGCCTGGGAAACAAGCACAGACTAGTGGGACCGCATCGTGCTGCAGGTGTGGGACGCTTCCCAGTGGCTGCAAAACTTTCGCATGCGTAAGGGCACTTTCATGGAACTTTGTAACTTGCTTTCCCCTGCCCTGAAGCGCCAGAATACCAGGATGAGAGCAGCCCTCACAGTTGAGAAGTGAGTGGCGATAGCCCTGTGGAAGCTTGCAACGCCAGACAGCTACCGGTCAGTCGGGCATCAATTTGGAGTGGGCAAATCTACTGTGGGGGCTGCTGTGATCCAAGTTGCCAGGGCAATCAAAGACCTGGTGATATCAAGGGTAGTGACTCTGGGAAACGTGCAGGTCATAGTGGATGGCTTTGCTGCAATGGGATTCCCAAACTGTGGTGGGGCGATAGACGGAACCCATATCCCTATCTTGGCACTGGAGCACGAAGCCACCGAGTACATAAACCGCAAGGGGTACTTTTCAATGCTGCTGCAAGCCCTGGTGGATCACAAGGGACGTTTCACCAACATCAGCGTGGGATGGCCGGGAAAGGTACATGATGCTCGTGTCTTCAGGCACTCTGGTCTGTTTCAAAAGCTGGAGGAAGGGACTTTCTTCCCGGACCAAAAAATAACCGTTGGGGATGTTGAAATGCCTACAGTTATCCTTGGGGACCCAGCCTACCCCTTAATGCCATGGCTCATGAAGCCGTACACAGGCAGCCTGGACAGTAGTCAGGACCTGTTCAACTATTGACTGAGCAAGTGCCGAATGGTGGTGGAATGTGTATTTGGATGTTTAAAAGCGCGCTGGTGCAGCTTACTGACTCGGATAGACCTCACCGAAACCAATATCCCCATTGTTATTGCTGCTTGCTGTGCGCTCCACAATATCTGTGAGAGTAAGGGGGAGACATTTATGGCGGGGTGGGAGGTTGAGGCAAATCGCCTGGCCGCTGATTACGCGCAGCCAGACACCAGGGCGGTTAGAAGAGTACAGCAGGGCGCGGTGCGCATCAGAGAAGCTTTGAAAACCAGTTTTGTGACTGGCCAGGCTACGGTGTGAAACTTCTGTTTGTTTCTCCTTGATGAACCCCCCCCCCCCCCCCCCCCCCCCGGTTCACTCTACTTCCCTGTAAACCAACCACCGCACCCTCCCCTCCCCCCTTCGAGCACCGCTTGCAGAGGCAATAAAGTCATTGTTACTTATCATTCATGCATTCTTTATTAATTCATCACACAACTAGGGGGATAATTGCCAAGGTAGCCCAGGATGGGTGGGGGGAGGAGGGAAGGAAAAGGACACACTGCAGTTTAAAACTTTAACACTTATTGAAGGCCAGCCTTCCGATGCTCAGGCAATCATCTGGGGTGGAGTGACTGGGTGGCCGGAGGCCCCCCCACCGTGTTCTTGGGCGTCTGGGTGAGGAGGCAACGGGACTTGGGGAGGAGGGCTGTTGGTTACACAGGGGCTGTAGCGGCGGTCTCTGCTCCTGCTGCCTTTCCTGCAGCTCAACCATATGCTGGATCATATCAGTTTGATGCTCCAGCAGCCGGAGCATATCAGTTTGATGCTCCAGCAGCCGGAGCATCGACTCTTGCCTTCTGTCTGCAAGCTGACGCCACCTATCATCTTCAGCCCGCCACTTGCTCTGTTCAGCCCGCGATTCATCCCGCCACCTCTCCTCTCGTTCATATTGTGCTTTTTTGCACTCTGACATTGAATGCCTCCACGCATTCTGCTGTGCTCTTTCAGTGTGGGAGGACATCTGGAGCTCCGTGAACATATCATCCCGAGTCCGCCGTTTTCTCCTTCTAATCTTCGCTAGCCTCTGCGAAGGAGAAACATTTGCAGCTGGTGGAGGAGAAGGGAGAGATGGTTAAAAAAGACACATTTTAGAGAACAATGGGTACACTCTTTCACGTTAAATTTTGCTGTTCACATTACACAGCACATGTGATTTCGTTACAAGGTTGCATTTTTCCTCTTATATTGAGGGCCTGCCAGTTTGGTGAGAGAGATCACTCACGCAGTGCCAGGCAACAGAATTCAGCTTGCAGGCAGCCATGGTAAGCCACAGTCTTTTGGCTTTTTTAACCTTCATAACATGTGGGAATGGTTTCAAACAGCAGCGCCCTCATTTCCCATACCAAGGACCCATTGGGTTGGCCATTTAAAATGGGTTTGCAATGTAAAAGGAGGGGCTGGGGTTTCCGGGTTAACATGCAGCACAAACCCAACTACCCACACACACACACACACACACACACCCAATTCTCTGGGATGATCACTTCACCCCTCCACCCCCACTGCGTGGCTAACAGCGGGGAACATTTCTGTTCAGCTGAGCAGGAGCGGGCACCTCTGAATGTCCCCTTAATAAAATCACCCCATTTCAACCAGGTGACTATGAATGATATCACTCTCCTGAGGATAACAAAGAGAGATAAGGAATGGATGTTGTCTGCATGCCAGCAAACACCGGGACCATACGCTGCCATGCTTTGTTATGCAATGATTCCAGACTACGTGCTACTGGCCTGGCGTGGTAAAGTGTCCTACCATGGCGGACGGGATAAGGCAGCCCTTCCCAGAAACCTTTTGCAAAGGCTTTGGGAGTACATGAAGGAGAGCTTTCTGGAGATGTCCCTGGAGGATTTCCGCTCCATCCCCATACACGTTAACAGACTTTTCCAGTAGCTGTACTGGCCGCAATTGCCAGGGCAAATTAATCATTAATCACGCTTGCTTTTAAACCATGTGTAATATTTACAAAGGTACACTCACCAGAGGTCTCTTGTGTGCCCTCAGGGTCTGGGAGCACGCCTTGTGAGAGTTCGAGAGTTACTGGTTCCAGGTCCAGGGTGATAAACATATCCTGGCTGTTGGGGAAACCGGTTTCTCCGCTTCCTTGCTGTGAGCTGTCTTCATCATCATCTTCCACGTATCCCGAACCCGCTTCCCTGTTGTGTGTTTCTCCATTGACGGAGTCAAAGCACACGGTTGGGGTAGTGGTGGCTGCACCCCCTAGAATGGCATGCAGCTCCGCGTAGAAGTGGCATGTTGTGGCTCTGCCCCAGACCTTCCGTTTGCCTCTCTGGCTTTGTGATAGGCTTGCCGTAGCTCCTTAATTTTCACGCGGCACTGCTGTGCGTCCCTGTTATGGCCTCTGTCCTTCATGGCCTTTGAGACTTTTTCTAATATTTTGCCATTTCGTTTACTGCTACGGAGTTCAGCTAGCACTGATTTGTCTCCCCATATGGCGAGCAGATCCCGTACCTCCCGTTCTGTCCATGCTGGAGCTCTTTTGCGATCCTGGGACTCCATCATGGTTACCTGTGCTGATGAGCTCTGCGTGGTCACCTGTGCTCTCCATGCTAGGCAAACAGGAAATGAAATTCAAAAGTTCGCGGGGCTTTTCCTGTCTACCTGGTCAGTGCATCTGAGTTGAGAGTGCTGTCCAGAGCGGTCACAATGAAGCACTGTGGGATAGCTCCCGGAGGCCAATAACGTCGAATTCCGTCCACACTACCCCAAATCCGACCCACAAAGGCCGATTTTAGCGCTAATCCCCTCGTCGGAGGTGGAGTA